AAAGGAATGCACACCTGGGCTGGAAGCTGGGGAGGGAAAGAAAGTTTTTAAACTGGCTCTGGTAGCAGAGATGTTCTGACATGAAACTGTACTTTGAGAGGACTGCTTGTCCTTTCTCCTGACAGTAGAAACACCAGAATTTTGTCCACAATCTGTGCGCACAGGTTTATTTTGAAGGCAAAGGTGATTTGTTTGACCATTTGCACAGGGGAAAGCCTACCCAGTAAGTAGCTGTAAATCAGTTTAGTTTTGCATAGAAACTATTCCACCACCATAGGGGTAGTGGAATGAATTGTGGCAAACATGAAATAACAGCTGGCCTAGAATGGGGTATGTAAATTAAAAAAATGAAGAGTTTTGAACAGATTTCCCAGTTAGGTGACTCAGTGTCCACAGCGTCTTTTCCTCGCTTTTTAAACTTTGTTCCTGAACGACCCCAGAGTTCTTTCCAGTGTGTGTCATGCACCACATGCTTTATTCACATTCCAGGTATCCCACACTTGTTTCCACAGAGTCAAAAACTAAGTTTTTTTTTTCCTTCTCTCTTTCTCCCCCCTTCCCCAAATCTTAGTCTATTTATGAATTGCACAACTTGGCATGGAAGCACTGTGACGAACATGCAAACATAGAGTTTAATTATCAGTTATTCTTTTTGATGTTGGTTTGGCAACCAGACAGACAGAAGTGCATTGCAGATATCTGGTTCAAGTGTTATATGGGCGAAGCAGAGGGAACTGAGTAAACATTTTCACCGTGTCCTTCTCAATACTTCTTATTCTAACTCTGCCGTGAGAGGGAATACAGTTTCTACAGGTGGTTGTTGTTGTTGTAGTTTTTAATGCTGTTTCTGATCATTTGCTTGAAATGCAACTTTTGTTCAGCTTCTGAAGGAGTTATGGATGATTTGGCCAAATCTTTCTTTAAAGACATGATTCTTGCTCAAGAGAACTTAGTGCTTGGCAGGTGGCCATTCTACCAGCATTCAAAAAGTCTTCCGAAGTGGAAGGCACAAAATTTCACCTTATACTGTAACAGCACACAGAACAAAATGCTTGGCTGCTGCTTCTGGTGGGAGCAGTACACATTCATTATCAAAGCCATTTGCCCCTTGCTTTGGATGAGAACTGCTGTCCTCATTGCATATGTGTATATAAAGGGACATTTCTCTACATTAGAATACAGCTAATGTGGAAATAAAGCTCATGCAATGCAGAGGGCATACTTTTTTTGTGGCGCTCTGCAGTGGGCCATCCATGAGGATACTTTGGAAAGGATTAGTCCTTAGCTTTGTCTGGATATATGTGAACCAGATGTGAGTTAGCTACTGAGGTAGGGCAAAAATCTTGTCTCAATTCTCTTTTTCCGTGCCAGCCTAAATCATGAGTAATTCCTTGAGTATAATAAAGTAAGACTGGTTTTATCCCAATGTAAATGAGAGAAGATGCCAAGTTCTTGGTGTAAATATACAAAAACTTGTAAAAATTCCTTTTCTTGATGTACATCTTACTCTACCCTTGAAGAACACATTTTTTTTCTCTTCATTCACTACAATCATTCTAATTTTTTTTCTGTTAGTGTGAAAGTATAGAGGTGCTAGTATGTCCACATTTGAGAAAACTTATCATCCTGCTTTCAAAGCGAAATAGCATTACAATTTGCTAATATGAAACTATTGACTTGAGTAGGGGTGGAATGTTTTCAAACCTTGTAAAACTATGCTGGTGTGCCTTTCTTAAGAGATTTTTAGAGGGGTGCTAGAAAGAAACCCACCTCATGGTATTCTTAAGGTCTGAGCCAAAAATCACTGAATCCAGCTGTGGCTGCAGTAGATGTTGTCACAGGTGGTCACAGGTGTGACCTGTGTGGCAGAGGCTTGACTCCTATTCAGAGCAATGGGAGAACAGTTCTTGGAACATGTCAAAAAAGGAAGAAGCATGTCCATGTTCTGTGTTTTTCTAGCTTGATAAACTTAGATTTAAATCTATCATCATGCTTCCAAGCACTGTCATTGCTTCTTCTTAGATTATTTCACTTTCTGGCACATTGGTGGACTGAGCTTGGGCACAGCAGTCTTAATTATTTTTCTTTTTCAAAACAGTTAAGCCACAGAACATTGTGCAGTTTTCTTCTTGGCAACTGGTTTTTTCCATACTGCCAAGACGTTGTTGAGCTCTTCTCACTTTCTCTTGGCATAGATGCAAATAGCAATCCTTTGCTTTATAGGCTACAGATCGCATTTATCACTGGAAGGCTTAAAAATTCTAGAGGAAGCCGCATGAGCCATAAGCTTCAACTTCATTGACCATGGTCAGCTAGTCTTTACTCTAATGCTTCTGGGATTTGAACACTTTCTGTTCTGATTTGTGTCCCTTTGTCAAAACAATAGACAGTTTAGAACAGCTCAGATTGTGGACTATTATTCATCTATGCTTTGACCTATTTGGAGCACTGTACTAGCTATGCATGTTGCCCAACTCTACAAATAAGGAAGGAGTAAGAAGACAAATAATCAGAATAATCCCCCTCTCCTCCTTCTTGTTGCATGTTGTTAGGATGTGTTCAGTGATGTTTGCCTTACTGTCAAATGCAAGGTGTGTCACATCCAAGTCAGGAGGAAACTTGAGAGCAAATTGAGTCTCCCTCTGACCTGTGCTACTCCAAGGCTATTGCTGATGTATGTTGACTCACGCAGGAGGCTTGACGAAAAGCTATAGGCCATCTGATTATTTTAATGAAGTATTTCCTCCCTCACTTCATATTAAAAAAATATTGAAAAACCAACAAATGTGAAAATGAAGAAAAACTACTTTCTAAAAATTACCTCCAAATTAACCTGGCATGTGCCAGGTTACAGAGTAGTCCCACAGTATTCGGATTATATTTGCAACATAAATATTTACATTTATCATTTTATAAACTATACTATATCATATAATATCATATTGCCTTATATTCTGTAGAAATGTGATACTCCGTTGTCCCAAGGTGCTTAAAAACTATGCTGTGGTGTGAATGCAGAGTTACTAAGCTGATATATGTTGTTTAAGGACTGGTTACTGCAAATAGTATTCGCATTCTGACTTGTGCAAGTTGTATTTCTGAAACAAAAGAGAATTACACAGCTAATTAAGTTATTGCCATTTGAGTCACTCTGTCATGAGTCCACTCGTGTTGTTTGATACTTCACACAGTCTGTTGCTTACGATAGCCTTGCAAATGTCAGGTGTAGGGGCTGTACACCTTTCCCAGAAGATTCCTGAGATTTCCCTCGCTTTTGTGCTGGTTCTCCAAGTTATGGCATGCCCTTATACTGAAGATAATGTTGTCGGTGTATCACCTTAAAGTGCTTTTGTTCTGTTTTCCCTTTTATGATTGCATGTGCCCTTCCTAAAGGATAAGCGAGGTTGGTTGGACATAAGCAAATATAGGCATTCATGTCAGGCAACACTGAAATAGGCATGACTGCACTGTCCGCTCTCCTATGTGAGAGCCTAGGAATGTGAAGTTAGCTGCAGCTGTGTTGGTGTGAGAACAACAGCAGAAACTGTAGTGATAAAAAAAACCCCACTGTTGCTACCCTTACTCCTTTCATCTGAGCTGGAAACGACTGTGGAGGCTTGTCTTGTTGTCCCATGGCTCTCTGCCTTTGTTGCGCTTCTGCCCCTGTCTCTCCTGTGGCAGGAGCAGCCTGGCCCTGAGACCTAGTTTCTGGAGTAGAAAATTTCAGTTTTGTTTATGCTGCTGAAAGGACTTGAGCTCAACTTTACAGACATGGAGGTTTGTCATTAAATTCTGTGAGAGTAGAATTATATCTGTTAAAAGAAATCCTGGGCCTCCAAAAATCTCATTTCACCTTTTTCATTAGGAGTAATTTAAATCTGGAGTGCTAAGCTGGGGTAAAACTTTCGTAGTGTGAGTGAGTTCAGAATCAATCTCAAAGTGGGACTGTGCTCAGCCTTTATGAGGAACAAGTCTTATTTTTCTTTTATTAGGCATGTTATCTTGAAATTCTTTTTGTTCATTCTGCCACCACAGTGTGAATGCATGTCCCACTGATTCAAATGCAATGTCATGCCCTGAGCACTCTCTGTATAGTTGCTTTCTGTCCAGCATTCCTCCATCTTATTCTCTGGCTTGTGAAATGTTTCTAACTATGTTGCTTTTTATCTAAACTTAGTCTCATTTTAGTGATGGTGAGTTCTTGACCTCTCTGAAGCTCTTGGTGTTTTGCAGTATTTGTAATCACTCCTAACAGTACTTTGGAATGATCAGTGAGTTTCATCTATGTTTAGTTTACTTCTTGCAGTGTGATTCATGAAAATGTTGGCCTGAGTACTAGCACATATTTATCAACATCTACAGTGAACTGTTCCGCAGAGCAGAAACTGTTTTTTTCAAACCAGCTGTCCAGAGATTGTTAATTTGTCAAAAATATTTATTCTTTCTGAAAAGACAGTGCTAAGTGTGCAAGTAAACTTTCCTTCTTTAACAGCAATTCAAGATTACTAGTCTTTTAAGATCTCAGAGGATGTTGTCAGTAGTTCCCATAGATGTCATTTCCATGACTCTCACCAACTGAATCCAGGACGACTACAGAGGCAAAGAATGATGGCATGTCTAGATACTCTTTTGAGGAGCCTAATCCTTTCCAATGTTTTCTGTTAAACATTTGGTTGAAATTCTGCTACTCTTGATGGAAGTGAGGGATATTTCACTGACTTCATTTAAGAGAAGCTTCAGTCTTCCCTGAGCAGACTTTAAGTACGTATTATAATGATACAGGACTGTCTTTAACTTCTCAGAATTGAGAACCTGAAACTGCCCAAATCACCCCCTTTGTTTGGTCATACTGACTTCAAGGTACTCAGGGTTTTCATCCATGTCTTTGACAATTAGTATTTTAACTTTCAGGGATTGCTAAGAAGCTGTAGAACACATTTGAAAATTATACCCTTGACACATGCCTTTTTTTTTTTTTTTTTAATTCTCTTCTTTTTCAGAAAGTATTTTGGAGAAAAGATAGGACTTTATTTTGCATGGCTGGGTTTATATACAGAATTCCTCATTCCATCTTCAGTAGTCGGGATTATTGTATTTCTTTATGGATGTATAACCATTGAGGGTGACATTCCTAGGTAAGCTTCTCTGTGTTCAATAATTTGTTACTTGAAAATTATAAGTCTGTGCTTTTTGTTCATAATCCTTAGTAAGAATAATTGCTTTTAACATGTCTGAAGAGTAGTGATGTATCATTAACAACCCTGTGAGCATTAGAAATACACATGCATTGAGTGGATAAGACATTTGAATGACACACATTTATTTGGCTGTTCAGTATTGCAGCTCCTGAAACAGGAATGTTCAGTGAGTCTACTGCATTATTGTAAGTTCTTTTTAATGACATCCATTTGCTTTTTATGAATGCACATACCTCCACGCTCACCCAGAAAGACTTTGTGCAGAACTCACTGAAGTTAATGCAAATACACTGTCAGGTACTCTTGGATTACTTTGTTCTTAGTAAAATCAGGCTATTTGCACAAGTAAGATGAACAATAGTTAGCAGATTTAGCATATTTGGTATCCACAGCATTCTCCTTCTTGACATTTACAAAAAAATGTTGAGTTTTGTGCTGTGTGTCCTGAGGGTGTTATACTAAACAAAACCTGCCAAATTATCAGAGGGATGTTAATGTTTGCTTCTCTGTGAAAAAAAGGACACTTCCTCTGTGTTATCTGTGTCCGACTTCTGGTGGAGCCAGGATACTGGATTACTAGTACTGCTGGTCACACTCATTGTGGCAGTTCCTGCGTTCTCTCAAACGAATTGGCAACTTTTAAAGCGGATCACTGCAGTAGGACATTATTACTGATAGTTAAATGATGAATAACAACACATCTGAGTCAGGGTTTGTTTTCTTAGCTGGATCTGAATGAATCTTGATGGGCTGTGCTTGTCTGTGGGAAAGCTTGTGCTAACATTTAAACTTAAGTGAGATTTATGGCTAAGATGTATCTGCAGCACCCTCTACTGCCTTTTGAAATAGAAGAGAGCATTACTTCAACGATATGATAGCTGGAAACAGCTGTATGCCTTTCAAATGATATAATATTAAACATATTAATACTACAGTTTGAACAGTTCTTTTTCATTTGAAGTCATAGAAAAAATGCTGTTTAATGATGGTCAATATAAGAACAATTGTAATCACAGTATGCCAGCTATCAGTGAAGAAATGTTTCAAGTCTTTACTTAGCTCACAATCCTGGCAAGGACACTTGAGCTTTGCGCTACTCAGTTCACCTGAGTAAGACACTGCAGATATGAAGGTCTTTCACACACAAACCTTATGAAAAAAACTGAAAGCACACTCAGCAGTCTCAAATAGGGTTTGGCTTGTTAAAGAGATAGTGATGATAATTTTTTAAAAGATTTTTAGAAACTGAGTAAATACACAGCAAATAAGACTAAGAATTAAAATAACAACTTTAAAATAAGGATTTTGAAATCTGTAAGAAAGTCTCTTATCTCACATTTTTCAGAGGACAGCTGAACAAATGCTGTAAACTGAGGAAAGGGAAATACAACTTAACATCAGCATATATGAGGCAGAAGTGGAAGCTTTCTAGTTTTTATAAGATTTACTGCTGGGGGGAGGGGGCTTTTTTCCTTTTTTTTTTTTTTATTTTTGAAAATTAGGCTAGCACTCTGTACTAGAAAAACAAGGAGCTATGGAGACCAAGAATACCACAACCATATTCAGCATTCAAACTTGAGAACCGTAAAATGTAAAGGTATCTGGTTTCCTGAAACTACTGTGCACACAATATCTGAACACCCTTAAAACATATTGGTATGGGTACCTAAAATAACTGCTCACACTTGAAGAACTTAGCCAAAACCTTATAGCAGATGGTGGTACAGATGACAATTGGTGTTAAAGCCCTATGCTGGGAAAACGACCACTGCTTTTATAAATACTTCACAAATAAAATGCAGGGTAGAGGTGCATCTCAAAGTAAATATTGTGAAATGTAACATCCTTGCTAAGAACAAGACTCTTGGCTAGTGTAAGTCTTTTAAATTCAGTGCAGGTATGTAATTTTATAGCAAAACCTAGTGTATCTTGCAAATGGTGTTGCAGATTTATTCTGTCTGTGACACAGACCAACCAACATGCCTGGGTGCTGGTTCTCGCTTTTATGCAGACTTACATGGCCAGTCCCAATATATGAAGTTGCATGGTATTTGACATGGATTTTTGTGCCACCATGTTAAAAATGTGTGTTTTGTCAAGGGCGCAGATTTCCCTTATGGCTACTTCAGAATTCTTTTTCATGAATTTAAATCTGATCTGATCACATCAAACCATGTGTAGAGATGGCAAATTCCAATTTGACTGTGTTTTAATTATTTTCTTTTAATGTGGTTAACCTCAGTCTTCAGTGATGCAGTCTTCACTAATTCACTAATACAGTGTAGTGATTAGATTGGTTGCCATGTTGCGTTGTTTTTCTGTTGGTAAGGTGCCTATAAGTATTTTAATATTCCAGCACATGGCAATGTGCCTTGAAGAGACACACAGCTTCCGTCCCCTGCAACTTCAAGCCACGTATGTTGCAAATACCTTGGAATAGCTATGAGGTGCTGCTTAATATCACTATTGTACATCCCCCTTTTCTGAGTGGTAATACCCTAAGAACTTGTGCACTTGTCATTCATAGTAGAGAAATGTGCGATCAACACAATGCCTTCACCATGTGCCCCCTGTGTGACAAGTTCTGTGATTACTGGAACCTCAGCTCTGCATGTGCTACCGCTCGAGCTAGCCACTTATTTGACAACCCCGCCACAGTCGTCTTCTCCATCTTTATGGCTCTCTGGGGTGAGTATTGCTTTGCATGTTAACAGTGTCATTTGATCTTTGGACTACTGACAGAATGAAAGCAGTACAGTAGTACAATGTAGTAGCCTTACATGTAACAAAGTGCTATTAGATTGAATGTGATACATATGGCTTCATGAAGCTGGCAAGCCTCAGAGGGCCAGTGAGGGCTGTCTGTGCTGAGACTGGAGAAAGCAATATTACAAGGCTTTCTGCTGTCAGCAGCAAGCTTTGGAATAAATGGAGAGGAGTTGCATAGTTCAGGGAAGAAAAGTGTCCTTTTTCACTCTACTGCCTTGTTTAATGGCACTTCTAAGCTTTGCCATGTTTTTCATCATTTTCTGTAGACATGGCAATCCCTTTAACACCTTCTGCATTTGGGGCAGGAATTTGGGATTGGTATGGGGCAGGCAGCTGAAAGGGTTTAATTTAAGCACAGAGTGCACTCCCATGTGGGACAACTTAGTCACATAATTTTATCAAAACTTTATGGGATTTCAAGAACAATGGGACTATTATTGTTTTAATTATAATATGTTCTAAAGTATTCCATTTAAACAAGCTTGGTTTTCTTCAATGGCAAACATACCCTGTCTCACTGAGGATGTCAAAACACTTCATAAACACTAATCAATGCATTGTAGCATTATTCTTATTGTTTCTGGCCTCACCTCTGCCTTGAAAAGTGTGTGTACTGTGCTTGCATGTATTATTGCTGGTGTTATGCCCTCATTCACTCTAGATCTTGCTTATTGTGAAAGGTAAAGGTGTTATTGCTACTGTAAAATGATTTTTTCTTTCCC